GCCTCTTCGATGGGTCGTGAGTTTAAGATTGTCCATGCAACGTGCGATGAAAAACTACACAGGTTTCTCTGGTCCCGAGACGGGTGGTTTCAGAAAGGGATATCGAATGGCATTCGCGAGTCAACTACTGGGCTCATCACTTCGAGAGCATAACTACCAAAATTCAAATGATGGTAGCAAATTTCCATCCTACAATCAATCAAAAATCCATGCTCAACCTTAAAAATACGGGTTCACTCTACAACACGATGTTCAGGTCTGACATCATGTTTGCTTCAGGTGCAAGCGCACGACCGCTCGCTCTTTCTGATCTTTCCACTTTGAAAATATTGCAATACAAGATACTATTTGCTCCATGGATAGTGCTGAACGAAGCCATCCGCATATATTTGAATCTCAGCAGTCCATTCAGTCGAGGAATCGGAGAATTTTCGAGTCAACGGAAACTTATGAATACCTATCAGTTAGGGAAGCTGTAGATTATGCTACAGACGACCCCGTCATTCAGTTGAGTCACCCCCGTCACCCGTGGGGTGACGTGGGGCAGTTGCACCTAGCCAAACCGGCATAGAGGTCGAGCACCTTCTAATCTCACATTAAGTCAGGTTCCATCCGTTAAAAGGGTTATGCAGCCAAGTTCCTTTCTGAATTATGTAGCACCACTAATCTAGCACCACTGATGAGACCTGGGGCTGGTCGAAAGAGCGCTGTCTGTTGTAGGATAACGAATGCTTTGTTTTGGGCTATGGATTGAAAATATATTTTGATGGAGCGAATCACTCAAATTTAGTTCCAATGAATCTGGATATTGCTGGACCACCCTGAATTTCGAGAGCTTTCTGAAGTATATAATAACACTAGCCAACGAATAAGAAAAAAAATGTGGCTAATATTATTATGGCTATACATGAGAGTTCAAAGCATCCTGACTGCGACTTCAACATCAATAATTTTCCATCTTGTAAATCTTTTGAGTTATAGTTATTTTTATTTTATACACAAATTTCCACATATTATAGGGAAATATAGGATCAAAACAAGAAACAAACAATATATTTTGAGGATAACATATTTCATTCACAATACACATAAAAAAACATTTACCATACCATTTTTGCAAATGTTGACTTTCGTTCATATATTTCATCGTTTTCCCTCATAAGGAATCAACAATAATCCCTATCATTGCTGCATCCCATCTGCCTTGGTAGCGTTGCTCCATTGTCAGGTCTTGGTGGAACCTTTCCCCTTATTCGTCACAGACAGCACCCAAATGTTCTGGGAAAAAATTCAAATGGGAGTGCAAGAAATGAATTTTGAGAGACATGCGACATCCCATTCTGCAGTAATTTTCAAGTAATTCTTCTACAAGTGTTAACGTAATTTTCTACTTTCTTGTTTCCTACAAACTCCGAAAAAATTATTTCAGAAGACATCTACGCAGCTAATTCAACATTACCTAATTTAGGATCAAACTGTTGATCACTTAGTAGTTTTCTAATTTGTGTTCCAACAAATATACCTCCCTTGAGCTTTGCATCACTTAATTTTGGAAAAACCTGTTCAAAATATTCAAACGCATCACCTTCTTTTTCTAATGCTTTTACAAAATGTTTCATTAACCCCAGTTCAATGTGTAATGGAGGTAACAAACGTTTTTGGGATTAACAAGAGGTATATTCTTTACGTTAGCTTGACCTGGAATATACATATTTATCTCTCGGAGGCCATTCTTTTACTTGATAATGGCTTTGTGTTGTCCAACTGTTCCAAAGGCAAAGAAAACAGCAAAACTTGGTAAATCCGCCCTGAAGACCTAGTAATAGTCCTATGACTTTTAGGTCACCACCGGCACCATATATTATAAGTATTATAACTCAATGCATTTAGAATTAGCGACATACTTTCGTCTGTTTCCTTCATGGCAACTGCATGTGCAAGAGGAACGAGGGTCTTTTGTTACCATTCCGGAAAGTCGTCTTGGTTTTGGTCAGGTTGAAGCCTGGCTCCCTTACCCTTTCGGCTGATTTTTGTTACCATTATGAATGAATAAATGAATGAATGAAAATCGTATATTACAAGTTTTACAGTTATTTACAATTTTTGTGTGTGTATGTGTTTGTGTAGGGCCCTGCTATAGGCTTATGCCTCTTCAGGGTGGTTACCATTATGGAACAGAACGGCATTTAAACTTGTTTCAGACGCTGTGTTGCCAGATTTTAAACAATTTCCACAATTTAGGTGAAAAGCAAATTTGGAAAGTTGTGTTCATTAAATTTTTGTGAAAAAATCATAACTCAGAAATCTTACGTGTTAGCAAATTGTTTCTAACATTTTCGCATTTATGGACTAAAAATTAACAATGAACTGCCTTTGGCATCACAGTCGTACATTGGCTGTGAACTAGTGTAATAGTAAGTTTACACTCTTTGATCAATAATTTTTTTCCAGTTTCAACTGAGTGCAACCAATGTGGGCTTGATATTTCTTATACTATCGGCAACGTACGGAATATCCTGTCCTATCTGCGGCTATTTATCTGACAAGTTGAATTCTTATTGGTGGCTGATGATTGTGGGTTTGTTTGGAAGCTCAGCTACACTTCTGTTTCTTGGACCATCACCTATGCTGAATTTGTTTATAGAAGAGTAAGTATCGATATACTCCAATATCAAAAATAATATTCGTGATGATATTGTAAGGAAAGATTTTAATTATAAAAATGGTTAAGCCACAGAATTCATATTTCGCACCAAGTCGAAACTTGTGCGAATTTAGGACTACCGAGGTCTTACCTTTTTACGTGTGATTCCTAACACGTGTGATTCCTAACATGTGAATATCAATTTTGACTACAAATTCTCTGGTATCTCCGTTTGAGAACTTGAATATCCATAGTTAATGTCAAACAGGTATGGGTTACTTTTATTGATAAAACATTCTATGGCGCTTTGCCTACGTTTTCATCTCCGAGATTATGTAGCTTGTTGTCGAGTTCAATTCAGTGAGATTTCAATAACTCTAGGAGTTCGAATAACGAATAATATGAAGAGGTTTTTCCTTTTGTTTGTAATGCATAATCACACATTATTACACAATCTCAAAATAACCCATCAGCTTCATCGTGATAAACATAAAGTGGTCAATGCTCACCACAACTTTGATCAAGAAAAATATACAGGGTGCTTCCTAACTATGGTACGAAACTTCAGGGGGTAATTCGTTAGGCCATTTTAAGAAAAAACTCTCATGAACATTTGCCCGGAGTCACTTCGTTTCTGAGATACACCGATTTGGTTGAAATTTGCGGTTATTAGAAGTTATTTTGCCGTAACTAGATTGAAATTATTAGATCCACCGGAGTCTCAGTGAGCACCACAGCCCACAATATTGAGGAAACAGTATGCCACTGACTTGTTGTAGTTTTCTATTTTTTTACATTATTCAACTAAAAATACAACTTTTTCATCGCTTGTGTTTTCTTCATATCTAGCTTCTTTTCGTGAAAGAAAATTGAAACTACTTTGCATATCAGGAACACCAGCTGATAGTGATAGTGTTGTCATATCCGTGAAAGTCACAGATGTCAGCAGTGATTCCATTATAAATAATTTTACTAACGCCGAAATGGCTGACATGCACTTTATTTATTGGCTAGCAAATGGAAATGCGGAAAAAGCACGAAGGACAGCCGACATTATTTTTTTTCTAAAATACACTTTATTGTACCAATTGAATTGTTGTTTGTGTTACAAACAAAAAATGTTAAAAAGAAAATTTATTGTTTTTTTTGCAAAATTTAACAAAAAAATGTGGTTCCATATCAGGACCACAAGGAAAATCAAACACAAAACTTGAAAAAATCAAAATTTTCGGTGGAATTTGAAAAAACAGACCTTTCGGTCAAACAAAGTCCGACATTACAACTGGAGCAGTGCCATCTTGTTCGGTGGGGCTCCGAACGTGAACTACAATGTGCGCATCTGACTTTTGTACCATGGATAGGCATATGTGCAGATTGGTCATACTTTATTTCAGGTGGAACTGATCTCTTATAGTGGTTTGGAACATCCTCCAAACTTTTTCTGCCTTTTTTAGGTATTGCTGGATCAGCACCAATAAGTCCTGCGGCTACAGCTAACCTGAAATCTTTCAGATTTAGACTTTTTGTGGGTGTCCGGTCTCTGAATATAATGAAGCTATTGACGATGCTCAAGTTTAAAAAGTGCCAAAACAATCGGTGCCACCATTTTTTTGATTTCCTATTCACTTTATATAAAGATAAGAACATATCAGATTGATCCACGTGCCCCATATGAGCATTATAATCGTGCACGAGCTGAAGACATGCAATATTTTGAGACGAACCATCTTTTTGTTTTCTAGAAACAGTTTGGACATCATCAGGACCATGAAAATTACTTGAAAATAATACAGGTTCATTATACATCCACTTTAGATAAAATATTCCTTCCTCAATTATCTTCCAGAGACTAGTACCTCTAAGCATTTTATTTTTATTATTTGTACTGTCTTTCGGTCCTTCTTTTCGATTTTTCCTGATTGTACCACAAGCATAAATATTTTCCTTCAACAAATTACGTAACAAAGGGATAGTTGTGAAGAAGTTGTCAAAATATACCTTATGGTACTTGCCCACAAGCGGACGGGTCAAATCTTTCACCATCCTTGAGCCTAAGCTTTCTTGAACTCCATCATATTTCCCTGTATAGACTTGAAATTGCAATACGAATCCCGACTGATCTGCCCGTATCCAGATTTTATATCCTCATAGGCATAATAGGCATATACTGCCGGAACCCAACTCGGCCTTTGAATTTCACCATTGACTCATCTATACTTTGGTGTTCGTTGGGTTTATAACTCTCCAAATAAGTTTTTGAAAGAATATCAATCAACGGTCTGAGTTTATATAATTTATCAAAGCCAGCCTCACCCTTTTTCGGTTGAACTGTGTTGTCGTTCAAGTGTATATTGCTCAAGAGCCAGTCAAATCGATCACGAGACATGCTCGAAGAAATATATGGATCCCTCATCTGTATTGAAGAGGACCAATAATCTCTATAACTCGATTTCTTCGTAAGACCCATCATAAGATTTATACCCAGGAAACATCTCATTTCTTCTGCGTCTGTTGGAAGAAACCGTTCGCCGTACCGCTGAGTTCCATACAAATTTGTTTGAAATATCAGAATATCAATGAGGTCCGGGGTGAACAATTGAAGGAAAACATCGGTAGGACTCTCAGCATCAACAGAAACACTTGGGCCCACATCTTGCCTAAACGAATGTGCTTTATTAGCACAATTTCCATCTTCAGTCCATTCGAAAGGTCTTGTAGCAAAGTTTATTAGAGGAAGTTCATCTTCGCTATCAAATTCATAATTTATTTTACTGCTTGCAATAACTGTATGCTGGATAGGTTCATTATCGATAATATTTTCTGTGGGCTCAATATTTTCAATAAGATCATTGGTGTCTTGGTCCTCCAGGTCGTCAATATCGATTTCCTCCAAATCATCTACGGATGGAGCTTCTGAACTAAATGAGTCAATATCTGAAGGAAGTTCGTCCAAAAAAGCATAGACCTCATCTGAAGTTATTTTATTCAGGTTCATGATTCAATCTGAAAAAAATAAATGGAATAAATAAATAATGTACAAAATCCTAGTGGTTCCTTTTGGGACCACGTAGTTTTCTAACCTGTATCATATAACCACTAAATTTTTCACTCAAATGGGACCTTACCTTATAATTTATGATACTAAACAAACATAACACGCACCTCAATATAATTGACAAACATCAGAAGCAGACAAAATAATGTTTTCAAAATATTTGTTTACATAGGTAACGCGCGACCTTGTCAGCTATTCAAATATATCCCACACTTACAGCGGTTCAAACTAACTAAAATCAAATCAGCGACGACAGAGGTATCTAACAACGTATAAACATCTGTGGTCCCAGCTAGCGCTTACTAGGCAATAAGGAAAAAATCTTATATTTGTGGTACTTTGACGGGACCACCTGACGGCAAAGGGTTAACACAGTAATTCCATGTGTTAAAACATTTAGAACGCTACATGCAAGATTAACTGAAACTGAGAGTTTCAATAAAGATGTAATAATAATAATAATAAATGGGCTTCATTCATTGAAATACATTCTTTATAAAGAAGAAGTAAATACAAAAATCAATTAATAGATTTACAGTCCCTTCACTAAATCCGAGAAATTACATTTTCCTACACAGAATTATATGGTCTAATGTATCAAATGCTTTACTGTAGTCCAAGAGTACCATGGCAGTTACTTCATTATTATCAGTTGCTTTGAATAAATCTTGGGTGATGTTGACAAGAGCGGTGGTGGTGCTATAGAATGTACGAAATTCAGATTTGTTATTAAATTATTATTCTAAACAAAATAATCAATTTGATCTTTCAGAATCCGCTCGAACACCTTAGATAGGATAGGCAGTTTGCTAATTGGCCTCAAATGAGATAATTCAGTTGGATTTTCACATTTTGGCAAAGGGAGTACAATTGCATGTTTCCATGCAGAAGGAAAATGATTTGTTTCTATAGAGGAATTGAATATGTGTGTGATGTGGTTGATAAGATAATTTTCAATATACTTTAACATAATTAGAGAAATGTTGTCAGATCCAGCACAGTTACTTTTCATACCACTGATGTATTGTTGAGTCTGGAGTGGTGTCACTCTGCGAAAATTCATAGTAGGTCCATTATAGGTCTGAGTATATTTCTCAATAAGTGTTTCATGATGATGAGATTTTGCAGGATGAGTAATATTTGTGAAGTGGAAATTTATTTGATTCAGATCTGATAAATCCGCGGAAAGGTTAGGGCTGTGTTTATTTTTCAAAACTTCAAGTTTTCTTAGAGTACCCCAGATCAAACTGGAATTTCCGTTTTTCGAAACAAATTCTAAATAGGCTTTTATTCCACGTCGGATTGCTCCGGTGGTATAATTACGGAGTTCCTTATAGCTCCTATAGCTTATAGTCTCTATGAGATTTGGTTACTTTGAATTTTCCAAGAGCTTTATCCCTCAGTTTAATCATTTCCTTGATGTTAAAGGTAAGTCATAGAGCGGGCGGTTTTGTTGTTTTTATAGACCTAACAGATTATAACTTTTAAGAAAGTTTAGAAAGAATTCTACAGAATTGTTCATTCCTAAGAGGTTAATATTCATATATCCCGCCAAGTTCAAGGAATCGCAGTTCATTAAAAAATTTGACACCATATCTTCGAGTACGGCGATGGAAAATGATACATTAGCTTTCGGTGGTTGGTATACAACTCCGAATATGTATTTTTTGCCAAATTTACTCACCAATATCCAGATATGTTCGAGGTATTGCTTAGTCTCAGAAAAAATTACTCGAAATTGTATTGAGTTTTTAATGTAGAAGCACACTCCTCCTCGTCTTTCGTCTCTGTCAGCTCTAGCGATAATATAATTGTCAATATTAACCACTTGTGAAGAAATATTAGGACTGAGCCAAGTTTCTGAGATTCTAATAATATCTATATCATTGCTTTAATAAAATCCTTCAATTCATCAAACCCAGTGAATAGAGATCTAACGTTGAGGTGACTAAATTTCAAGCTACGGGACATGATTTAAACACGGTAGAGTAAAATATATTTTAAAAAGAAGAGGAAATTGAATTTATGAAATTGAATGATTCAGTGCTGAGTTGAGCGGGTTCTAGTCTTCGTTGCTGGTCGGTTAGCTTCTTTCAAGGTTTTCTTGAGTGTGCCGGTTGACTTAGGTGTGGCTGATATAGTGATAGTTTTTATCGGAGAAGGGGACCTGGTATAAGATCTTGAGTTGGAGTAGGTTGAACGCTGTTTGATTTAATTGGTTCTTTTGTTTGCTTATCCTCCAATTCCAATAGACCAGCAACAGAAAATTGGGAAATAACTATAACCAGCTTATTTCCATTAATGTAACAGGGATCCGAAGTTCCCTTAATTATATGAAGATGTTTCTTTAAAATTTTCAGATCTTCTTGCTGATTTCGAGTGAGGTCATGTGCTAGACTTATGCTATATCCTTACATGTTTCTGACTTTCTGGAGAATTTTCTTCTTTATCAAATAGGAAGTGAATTCAATTTTGACAGGAGAGTTCTTCTGATTTCCAAGGCAGTAATAGTTATTTATATGACTTTCACTGACATTGACTTAAACAGCCTGTTCAACTCATTCAATAAGTATTGAAGTGTTATTTGCCTTATTTCTTTGTTCACCCCAAAAAGTACTATATTGTTAGATTTATTTATTCTTTCAAGAATTTCAACCTTACTTTTGAGTTCTTTGTTTTCCCTTTCAAGGAATTCAAGTCTGTTTCGCAATATTCGAATTTGACGAGCAATCTAGTTTCACTAGCTATAATGGCGTTTTTTTAGTTCTTCCTTATTTTTATTCATTTCCTGTAGAATAATCTGGACAGCTGCATAATTCATGATAACAAATTATTTATTATGTGTAGATACACCTTCAGCGCTCCAATAAGGACAATTCGTTTCAAGCCTGATGTTACAGTTTTTCAATATACTTCGCCAATGATTTACATTCAAGTTTGTAAGGGGTTTAGGGATTTATCTTTCTTTGAATCCGGTAGAAAATGATTTACTCACTTAGTGTACAGCTTTCCAAAAATTATTTTGAAGCACTTGATACGATTTTATGGTACCCTAATATGGTTAAGGTGATTAAGGTGGATCGAATGCACTCTCACTCAACTATACTGATTTCACTTGTTTGTGGAATTAAATTTCCTTTGAAACTTTATGTTGAAATCACTGTTAGTACGCCACTGGAAGGGTGATATCTACCCACTTGTCTTGCCAGATGAGATAATTTTTGAGCGTTTTATGCCGTATGTAGGTGGTGATAGACCAGAAACTGTAACACCGCCTGAACTAGAACAAGCTATACTTAATGGAAGAGACGAAGATCCTTGAAATTGTACCAAAAAAATTGCACTGTAGCTGGAAGTCAGCCAAAAAACCATATGGACAGTTCTAAAAAGAAACCTCCTATACCCATATCACATTCAGCAGGTCCAAGCTCTACTGGCTCAGGATTATCACCCAAGAATAATGTTTTGTAGTTAGTTGATTCATTTGATTCATACAATGGCACACAAAGATAATTTTCCACCAAATATTGTATTTACTGACGAAGCAAATTTTTCACGAGATGCTATTATGAACTTTCACAATGACCAATGGGCCGACAAAAATCCTTATGTTATTAGAGAAGGTCATTTTCAGCAACAATTTTCGCTGAACGTTTGGGTAGGAATGATTGGTGACTACCTAATTAGCCCATTTTTTCTATCAACAGTTTCTATCAGCAGTTAAATCCTACATGGATTTTTTGCGAAATTATTCACGTATTTTAATAAAATAAGTGTCAGTACTTGTAAGAAGCAACATGTGGTTCATGCACGACGGGACTCCAGCTCATTTCAGTGTTCTTGCTCGTCAGCATCACGACATCACCTACCCTAATCGCTGGATTGGACGTGCAAAACCTCAAAATTGGCCAGTTCGCAGTTCTGATATGAATTCTCTAGATTTCTATTAGTAGGGTCATCCGAAGACTCTTGTTCATAAAACTTCTGTACTAGATATGAATGACTTGAGGAATGGAATAATTGACAATTGCAATGTCATAAAGAATACTCCAGATATTTTTGAACGTGTCAGACAATCAATGACAAATCGATTGCAGTCATGTATGTTATCAGAAGGTGGACATTTTCTATAATAACTTCAAGGTCGAAATTGCTTATTACTTATTTTTGGTTTCATTTCAGTTTTTATTTTATGTTGTCCATGGATAGCTTTTAGAAGCTTGGTATGAATAAAACACAAGGAAAAGTTATATTTTTAGTTGCTTAATCAAAAAAAATCAAAAACTACAAAAAGTGGTATTCCTTTTTTTTTCAATATTGTTGACTGTGGTATAATGATTTCATAATGTTAATTCGAATAAACACCTTAGACTTCACCTACTCCTTACAAGATATCAATAATTTGATTTAATTTCAGTCTAACAAATAGTCTTTATATTTAGTTTTGAACTTTGTGAAATTTAACTTTTTGAGAGGGGTTGGGGACAGAATTTTGTACTTTCGACAAATTTGGCACCTAAAAGACCGCCTGAACATTTCTGTTTTGAATGTTGGCATTGCAATCATATTTTTATGATTTAACGAATCATCCTCTGCAATTCTGTACCGTAATTAGGAAACACCCTTTATATAAAAATATATTTTCAAGTATCAAAGGAAATAGTTCTATACAGGTGAATGGCAAATGATATCGACTATTACCATTTGGATGAGAGAACTCAAAATGTTGATTCAGTTTTTATTCATGTCATGAATGATGAATCGATAATTATGAAGAGAGATGAAGAAGAAAATGAATTATCTAGCCAGGCGGTTCGACGTGGACGCTTTGTTCACTCACTTGAATTGACTGCCGTGTTGGTCGGTAGTTCAAGCCCCAGTCTGAACGATCGATTTTCACTTGCTATCGTCCAACCTGTGTTAGGAATCAGACGTTAAAAGGTAAGACCTCGTTCATCCTTAGCTCGCACAAGCTTTGACTTCTGAGGGTTGACGTTCGTATTGGTGCGACAGCTGGTTAACGGAAAAACAGATTTCAAACAGAACAGTTAAAACTATGATAAAAATAAAAATGTTAGGTTACGAATGATGGGTGTAACCAAATGGGGTAGAGTTGCGATAACCTACTGAAATGTACCGTTTTTTCTTACCAAAGATGAATGCTGGATGAGTGCCGAAGAGCACAACTGGAAATTTCCGTGCTTTTCTACTCATCCCAGCGTTTCGAAATCGACAATATAAATACGAAAGTCGAGTTATATCGGAGATGTGTCAAAACAATTTCATTACAGTGGTCAAGTTTATTGCTTGGAATATATCAAGTGCGCTTGGGTGTTTGAGTTTATTGCATTGAATCAGTCAAGTTAGCAAAAATGTGTGATTGGTGTTTATGGTCCCGAAACCGAAACAGTATAATTGTAATAATAACATTCTATTTTCAGCTCCGTATGGTTGAATATCGTGGCTCTGTCGGTATTAGGAGTGTTTGCAGCTATGGCACTGATGCCGACCTATCAATACATCCTTGATAGTTCTCTGTGAGTATAACCGAAACATACACAGTTTAAAATCTAGATCAATATCATCCAATAAAAACATTTATAGGAAGATTTCAAGTGAACCACCATGGAGGTTCATGTTTTAAAACTGTTTCAAATCTTGTACACTTGAAAACCCATATTCCAACATCAGCAAGATAATAATTGATGAAGACATTTTTTGTGGAGATCACTACTAGACATAGATTTAGGCCCTGAGAACGCCAAAAATGATTAACTCAAAATTGGTCCATAATAGACAAAACCAAGCTTTGGTCATATGAATTCTGAATTTTGGAATATAATTCATTCTACGGTGTGACCCATTTTTAATGGAAACACCCCCCTGAAATTTGAAGTTGTAAATCGATTTCAATAATTTTTTTTTAATGTCAAGTACTAAAAGGTCTACTTTGGGGCAAAATTTGAAATGTTTTTTAAAGTTTCAGGGCATACTACGATATTTTTTCTTAGTCGAAAATCGGGATTTTTTATTAGCGATTTTTTTTTATTGAAAAAATCACTACTCCACTGAATTCAGAGTGCCTCTAAACAGGTGTGACCAAAATTTCATGAAAAACTATTCATTATTAAAAAAGTTATGACAACTCAAAAATTCGAAAACTCACACAGCTAACAGTCACAAAAAATACCCTATATCAACAGATATAGCCATGAGAATATTTTTTTATGATTTCAACAATAAAGTGCCGCCAGATGAAAAAAAAAANTACAACTTCAAATTTTAGGGGGGTGTTTCCATTAAAAATGGGTCACACTGTATATAAGAGAAAACGTACGTTGAAGCTTTTGTAATCACCCCATAATGAACTTGAATGGAATAACACCCTGACATTGGATCATCATCACATCCTTTTGATTGTGGTTTTGTATCATAACATTCATTTTACTTGATGAAATATGAGTAATACCGAAAAATATTCTATAATAATAATATGTGAATTGTCAGTTGAAGTATAACATACACATTCACATAAATGTAAAATTATACATCTGACCAGTTAGTTAGATGTATATCATCAGGTCAATTAATAATTGAATAACTTCATTGTTTGCTTTGGGTGCCATTATGAGGCCTCCAAATGAGTCTGTAGTCAAAGGTGAGACTAAGTCTGTATCTAGTAGTGGTTCCCAGTAGTGGATAATATTTGAACATATATAACTGCCGCAATATGCAGGAATAACTTCTGTGAAGAATTCTGCAATGGCACCTGTCGGATATAATCCAACGCCCTTCGTGGTATTAGCCAGGGGAGTAGTTGTTTTCTGATAGGTGTCAGTCCATTAACCTACTGTGTAGGGAGTTGGAACTGGCCTGAACGAATTGTTCTTAGATAATTTGAACATATATATTTTGGAAATTTAAAAAAACGTTTTTCTCCATCGCTTTACTATAAAATGGGAAACTACCAAAGATATGTAGATCGTTCACAGAAATATCTTCTAGATCTAACGGGGAACAAAATGTCCATCTGAAACAACTACTTTCATATACATGAACATCAAATCACAAGGGAAAAACTTTTTTCTATTCAGTTTGTGCTTCAAATTTTCGTAATAGGATTGAAACAGACATCACTCACTGTAACACTACACTATGTAATATATTTCACTTTCATGGAAAACTATCAGTCTCTAGATGTTCTTGGAAGTTTCGGGTGAAAACACTTCAACTTTCCATCAGCTAAATACCAAAACGATGAGCAGCCACCAGTTCGTCACGTATTTCTGATATGTACAGTTCTTGGTGGAATCCAAGATAAATCTCCAACCTATCTTCGATGTTCCAGACTATCAAGGTTGGCGTCTCCAGTCAGGCGTATGGCCGTTTTCTTTGCAGGTGATTTGAAAATTTTTCGGACCATTACATCAGAGGAAGACTCCTTAATCTTACAAAAAGACCTTGACTTTTTGTTCCTTTGGTGTACCAAAAATAATTTTCCCCTCAGCACAAACAAATGTAAATACTCAAATACACCCTTAAAAATAATATTATTTTTCATGAGTACTGCATAAATAGCACACCTCTTCAAATAAGCACTCATCAAAGGGATCTTGGTGTCATATTTGACCCTAAACTGAGTTTCTCCATACACTATGACACAATAACATGGTCAGCTAAACGGATGCTAGCCCTCATCTATCGTAACTGTGAGAACTTTCGTAGCAGAGACAGTTTTTTAACTCTTTAAATGCAAAATCAACGTCAAATCTCGGCTGGAATATGTCTTCTTTATATGGTCACCCATATACAATGTTCCACGAATTAATTCTAGAAATGAACTGACTTTTATCCATCAAATTCTAGAAAAAACATATATTACTCAAGTCACCAGTTGTTGCAATGAACAAACTCTATAATCAACTCTGTGAAAAACTCGACATTTATTATGAACCTATTGATCAAGTTAAGAACCATGTTAAGAAACTTTTACACTCTGGTCAAAGTACATGAGCCTAACTTGAAAGTTAGTCTACCATGGGAGCTTATTACTACTACTGTAATACAACCGAATTATGTTTTGTTTGTAATACACCTAAGTTATGTTTTCACTTATTAGCTCTACGTCTGACTTATGTTTTTCCTTTCAATTACTCTCCTAGCTTGCTGTACATGAGTTTTCACCTATTTTTTGTGTTTACTCTCTTCAGGTGTTTCTAGTTGATAAATTAGTATTATATTTATATATAAATATAGGCAGATATAAAACTGTAACATACTTGCTAATGATATCAATATGTCTTTTTATTGGGATTTACTTCTGTCTGGACATTAAACAATTTTTTATTGAGAGGGAAAGAGAGCCAAATAGTTCCTTCCATAATAAAATATTGAATTTCTGATGCATGATGTAAAAAAATAGAAAGAGTAATATTGAACCTGTAGCATAACAACCGTGACACATTAATTTTTATACATTCTTTTTTCGATGCATCCTGTTTCTTGAGTTTGCTTGATCATTGTAAAACTCTCATTTTTATGTAACAAGAAAAATAATGGTTTTCATTATTATTTTTCAGTGAACATGGATATGCTGATAATCTGGCAACTCATTCCGTTATAGCCGGTCTTTGGTCTTCTATCTATTCCTTGGGAGATGTCTTGGGTCCTATCCTCGGAGGAACACTCCTTGAGAATTACCACTTTCCAGTATCAGCCACGAGTTTCGCAGTTTTGAATTTTGTCGTGGGAGTTTTCAGTCTGATTTTTTTTGTGTACGTGAAAAAAACACCAAACGTAGTGAATTTCCCCAAAGTTTCTCCAAGTCACACTGATGGGGAGTACTACAAAGCAGACATTAAGAATATAGCCGTTGAGGGCAATCCGGAAGTCATTAAATCGTCATAATAATGATAATAGTGATAACGAAACTACCTGTCCTGGATTTGAACTTACCATTTGGGATAAAAATCCCTTCAGTGCCGTCTCTGATATTTAATTTGTGTTTTGTCAACATTATCGTTTTGTTCTGAATAAACGTACCTATAGTCCGTTCGCCGAATGAATGGTGTGATCACGTCGTGTGTTTACAATGAATTTATACAGAAATAGTCAAATCGCCATGTTAAACCAAGAAAAGAAAACAAAAAACACAATGTCTGCACAAGTAAGAGTATGTATAACATATGTAATGGTAAAGGACGATACTTGTATTCAAGTAACAATTTATTGTGAGATTTTTACTGAACGTTTACATACTGATCAAGTATAAGCACGCCTGAAGAAGTTGTTGTATAGTGAAACACTTGTTGCGGTTTTGTAGACTGCTCAGCGAAAATTTCACAATATAGTGTTACTTGAATAGGGAATATGGGATCTGACCGAAAAGGACAAATAGAAATTGTTTGCCTCTGTGAAAATCAAACCTGTGAAAAATCACCTGTAGATCACGATCTCTTACATATCAATCTTTTCGGTGAACAGACTATATTTCTTGTTTCTGGCTGATCGACTGTGTAGACACTACCTCCACAATTCCTCCCGTACATTGATCGTTTTTCAACAAATCCCTAGATAGAGATGTGACTATCCGTTTTTTCTACAGTGTGATGTAGAATTAAGAATTCGGACAATGCTGTCATTATTTAAGTGTAATGAAATATGCCGTAGACGAAATTTTCGGAAAGAGAGAAAATGTACAGAATGTATTAAATACTTCCAAATCAAGTTTTATTTATTTATTTATATCGTATAGGTATATCATCTGCAGAACATTCGCGTAATTTCGGTGATTAACGTTAAATACTTTGAAAGAAATGTATTGACAAAAAAAAATTATTGAATCAGGCTTGCTGTCTAATCGAGCTGGATGAACTAATTTATCAGAGGAGCCAAAATTTATTTCCAGTTCTCAAACTAAACTGAGAGATTTATTATGAATTCTATTTCATATCACCATTAGAATGACCAGTGCTGCCATTTTGAGGGTAAATGGTCAATCTGGGGAATTGTAATTGAAAGCCAGTAAGGCAGTATGGATTCGTCTAGCAGCAGTTTCGTCATTCCATTTCGATTCCAGGACATCTGCGATGGATACACATCTTCACCTGCAGCAGGAGGTTGCATATCTTAATGAGGATCTAGAGGTTATTTCAAGTTGGGGTGAATGTAACCAGATTCAATTCAATCCCACAAAAACCTGGGCTTGTTTGAAGGCGGTTGACAACATCTAATATCAGCAATGAAGAACGAAGAGCTCTGAATGGGCTACGTAGAGACAACACCATCAAGATCTTACCTGCAGATAAGGAAAACGCTACTGTTGTGATGGATACTGATCTCTAAGAGAACAGAAGATCGAAGAGGTTCTTGGGGAAGGAAAATACACGAAGATCGTAAGGGACCCTACTGCATCAATTGAAAGGAAATTGTACTAGATGTTGAAAAACCACCAAGTCTATTTTTCGGAAAAAGAGAGATCATCGCTATCACCGCACCACACTGACACCTCACCTGTATGGACTACCCAAAATCCACAAGAAGGATGTTCCGCTCAGACCGATCATTAACTCCAGAGATTCAGCCACTCAGATACAAAGGAGAGTTTCGAAAAGGAACTAGGCATCATCAAAAATGACCTTCAGCGGAATGGCTACTCCGAAGTGATGGTGGGACAGGCTATAGCTATAAGACAGCAAGAGATCCACAAGGAAGAGAAGCCGCCACAACCAGTACTTGTACTTACCTACATCAGAGGATTGTCGGAAAGGATAAGAAGGATTGGGTCCAACTATAACATCAGAACCTGCTTCAGATCTAGGAACACTATCCGTAGCAGTCTCACACAAACCAGGCCACCCAACGCGGACTGCGATTCCAAGAATTGCATTTACCGGATACCCTGCGAGAGCAGAGAATCATACATCGGTGAAACTAAGAGGTAATTGATGGATGAGCTCCGCCCCTAAGCATAACCTAAAGCTGCTGAATTCCATCCAGAAAAGAGTCATCCGCCTGATTGAAGATGCGAACATCACTCACAACCTTGATAGTCTGGAACATCGAAGAAAGGTTGGAGATTTGTCTGTCTGTCTGTCTGTCTATAGATACTTTCAGGAGAAGTGTTCAAGTGACTTGGCGCCGTTGATTCCACCAAGAGCGGTACATATCAGTAATACGCGACGGACTGTGGCTGCTCATCGCCTTGAAGTTCAACTCAGTACACGTCGAACTTCACTGTTCAAGAACTCTGTCATTTGTAAAACTGCGTAGAACTGCAATAAACTTTCTGAGAACGTTTTTCCAAATGGATTTAATCACCAGCGATTCAAATCCAATGTGAATCACTACTTTCGCATAGGCTTTTCCTATAGTGCTTGTTTTTTGTCCTTAAAAAAACTCATTTTAGAGATTTCAGCTTCGAAGATAAGTCCCAAAGTGGTAAACTCACTGTGATCCACTGTAATTTAAGCGATCAATGGGTCCGACAATACTGTACCCGGTGAAGTAGCAAGGTGCCAAGGATGATAAACTTCTTCATTTGTGCAGTCAAGATTTCTGCCACGATATGGCAAGCCGGTATGTTATTGAGGTTTGAGAGTAGGGATGGCATTAATTCCAATATGAACTCCAATCATCAGGACAACAATTTGTATAGACTGGTATGCGTATAGTTTGCGAGGTTCGAAGTATTCCTCGTATTTCGAACGTTATTCGTTTCGCTCTAAAATGAAAATTTAACAACGAATTTCGGTCTACTTTCCCCCCTGAGTGATCTTATGCCCAGTCTATGTAGGTGTCACACTTTTACACTGGAATTTTCCTGAGCGAAACGGATAACTGCAATGGTTAGATGCAGAGAAGAAGAGGGTAGAGGAAATATCCCTTAAATGCATCCCTTCTGATTTGACCTACCCTGTTTGGATTTTAGCCTGATCAGATGATATAATGAAAAGAGTTCTCCAGAGTTGTTCAAGGAATCTAACAACTGTTTTGTCGGGTACCCCAAGGATGCCTTGCAGGTCATAGAGAGGCTGGAGGTATACTGAACTAAGTTCTGCATGATACATCTGTCGAAGAAGAGGTTCTCCTTGTATCGCCGTGCAGACCTTTTTTTAAAAAATTAAATGTTTTAACAGTGGCAGGGACCTATATCCTATAAGCTTGTGTGCACGTTTTTAAACAAAGATCTATCAATATGGCTGAACGTTTACATAACTATAACACCAGAGGAAAACAGTTGCTACCACCAGTACGCCATCGTACTGCCCTCTTTCACAAAAGTTATGAAGTGAATGGATGCAAATTTTTCAATATTCTGCCCGAGACTGTGAAAAATTGTAAAAACATTTGTGTGTTTAAAAAAATTACAAAACAATTCATATTACAAAAATTTTTTTACACTTTTGAAGAATTCCTCAACTAGATTTTAAAGTTTTTTCTTTTTTTAATCTATGTGACTGTTATTTATTACTTATTGGGTATATACATCTATATATAATATATTATGTAATGCGCCCATTGACGTCTTTCACAATAATTTTGTCATAGTG